TGTGCGAAGACAACCGTCTGTTTCTTCCGAACACTAACTTCAGGCGTACGAAGAAGCGTTCCGCAACGTGGCGTTTCCCTTCGCCAACACAACCGTGATCTCAAATTGATCACATTGCAATTAGCTTCAGATGGCGCGGCAGCATACTGGACTGCAGATCCTTTTGGTCCACCTTCTTTGACTCAGATCATGCTCTGGTCTGCGCGTAAACCTGTGTGTGCTTTGGAGGATCCCGAAACACGAAGCACCGCAAGTTTAATATAAACAGATTAACGGATTCCTTTGTCCAGGCGAGCTATCAGTCTTCACTGGCATATGCACTCAGTTGCAATGTAACGCAAGAAGTGGAACAACAGTGGAATTGTGTACAAAAAGCGATGACCATTTCCGGACAGTCATGCTGCAGCCTAACCGGACGCCCCTTGAAGGCTTGGATCTCTGATCGTTCTCTGGAGCTGTTCGAACGCCACAAAGATATCTCCGCGGAATCAGATTGCACCGAGCGGCGCCGTTCTGCCAACCGACTGCTCAAGCAAAGCCTACGCAAGGATCGCGAGACATGGTGGTCTGAGCGTGCTTTAGAGATGGAGACTGCTGCCCTCTCTGGTAACACTCGCAGACTTTTCCAACTCATTCGGTCCACTGGCCTCAGGAAGCCTGTTGTCAGTGAGGTCATTTGTGAGGTGGATGAGTCTCCGATCACCAACCAACAGAGGCGTATGGACCGCTAGGCCGAGCACTTTCACTCGCAGTTCGACTGGCCTCCACCATCCATCAGTACACCTAGTTGTCCACCCTGGCTTGTCCCTCTGAATCCACTCAACGAAGCGGAAGTCTGCTTCGAGATTCGATGCTTGAAGCGCTTCAAGACTGCCGGCTTAGACGGGCTTCCTCCGGAGCTATTCAACTACGGCGGTGTGGCGATCATTACCCGGCTGATCGCGCTGTTCGCAAAAATTTGGCATGAAGAGAAAGTGCGTTCCTTTTGGGGCGAATCAGTTATTGTCCTGACTTAAAAAAGGCGCTCGCACTTCATATGCAAGTCATCGCGAGATTAGTCTTCTTTCGGTTGCCTCTAAGCTATTGGCAATCATTCTGCTTCGCAGACTATCCCCAGTACGTGACTCATGCTACCATGAAGAACAAGCTGGTTTCCGTCCCGGCCGCGATGCGTGGATCAAATCTTCACGCTCCGGTAGCTCCTCGAACATCGCCACACTTATCACAGGCCCACTATCCTTTCATTCCTAGACATACGTGCCGCTTTTGACTCCGTTGATCGACCTGCTTTATGGCATTGCTTGCTAAAGAAGGGGGTACCAGATAAATATGCCGCCATCTTACGAGCACTTTACCTTCATACATCCAGCAGAGTGTGGGTCTATGGCAAGCTTTCTTCGCAATTCACTGTCAATAGCGGTGTGTGACAGGGCTGCCCTATGTCCCCATTCCTTTTCAACTTCGCAATCGAAGACGTTCTTTCGAATACTCTAGAAGCTTTCCAACATTTTGGCCTAGAGCTTCTACCGGGTGAGCGCGCAACTGACTTAGATTATGCTGATGATATCGCCTTACTTGGTGACGATCCTCAGGGTATGCAACTCATTCTGGATTGTTTGGCGGTTGAAACATCTAAGTATGACATGAGCTTCGCCCCATCGAAGTGTAAAGTACTGCTCAAGGATTGGCTTTCACCTGCTCCCGTGCTTACTCTCGAAGGTGCACAATTTGAACAGGTAGATAGTTTCGTCCACCTTGGGAGCTGTTTCTGCTAACAGCATTGTCAACAAAGAAGTTTCTATTCGTATTGCTAAAGCTCGATCAGCATTTGTCAATCTGAGGCACTTGTGACGTCGTCGCGACGTCTCATTTTCACTAAAGGGCCGTGTTTACATCGCATCAGTTCGCTCAGTATTGTTGTATGGGTGCGAGTCCTGGCCGATTCGCGTGGAAGACATGCATCGTCTTTCTGCCTTCGATAACGGTTGCTTAAGGGGGATTGCTGGTGTTTGGTGGCAACATCGAGTTAATAGTAAGGACGTGCGACGTCGCGTCTTTGGGAATACGAGTATTCACTTCAACAGATTGGTTTTGTTTCACCAGTTGAGATGGCTCGGTCACCTCCTACGCATGGCACCTGAGCGTCTACCGCGTCGCGCTCTATTCGGTCGTCAAGGATCTGGCTGGAGGCGACCGCGTGGTGGTCAGCCTTCCACTTGGCGGCAGCACATGAAATCGTTGACGTCGTGTCTAGCCGCTGTTGGATCTGTACGTCTTCCAGGATGGGGACCCAAAGATGAGGAGTGCCAATGGCTTAACACTCTTGAAGACATGGCCCGCAACCGGAATCAGTGGGAGAATTGTGTACAGTATTTTAGTAATTCACATGTTTGATACTACAAACATTGAAAATGACAAACAAGGGCAAAATCGGCGTGTGAACAACAAACTAAAAATGTTTTGTTCTACTTTTTGTCAAAATGTTCCATTCTTCCTGCGGCATATTAGCTTAAGTGTGTTGCCCACCTTCAACTACCATGCCACGACGATTATGACGCAATGACTCTCTCTTATCCACTGATCTCCATGGTTTTCTTTCGGCTCTTTGTCTAGTTCATAGACAGCTGAGATTACTACTATTACTATTACTCTAATTAACCCACTATGTCACCAGGCTACTAAGCCTCTTGCATTCATTCGGTTCTAATTTCTTCCTCCACCAGCCGATTTCGCTGCTTTTGTCTACTTCTCCTCCTTCTTAGTCTCTATTCCGATCACGACCTTACTATCGATACATGCTACGAAGCAAAGCATTATGTTACATCTTTTATATTCTGTACTTTCTAGTATCTGGTCTTTCCGTATATTTTATTTACTTGCATTGCGGCACAATAACAGGTGTTTCTCTTCCCCAGCTGTCGTGTAGAATACTGCTGCTGATGATCTCCATCGACGCACGTTCATTCGGTAAAGGTCTGCATTCTGAATAGTGGTCTACCTATCTGGAAATATTTGGGTGTTGCTCCTCCCAACACTGGCACACCACGACCGCGGTTTCGTCCTGGTTTGGACTCATCAGATGGAGATAGCCTAAGCAGGGGTGGAACTCAGAGCCTAGTAGTGCACGGCTGACACCCTGAACAATATGCTAATGAGATCCGCGAGCAACACTTACCACAGCGGAAAGCAAATCAAAGTTGAATTTAGCGAACACGCTGTGTGGTTAAGTTGCGACTCGTAAGCTCTATTGAGACCTCGGCTCACTTTGAGGTAAAACTCTGTCATTCCGATCGCGAGGACCGTATCCTGGATGGATATGTTTAGGTGTTGCTCTTCCCAACCCTGGCACACCACGACCGCGGTTTCGTCCTGGTTTGGACTCACCAGGTGGAGATAGCCTAAGCTGGAGTGGAACTCAGAGCCTAGTAATTCACGGCTGACACTCTGAACACTGTTACTGAGATCCGCGAGCAACACTTGGTCTACCTATCGTTTAACGCCGTCACTTCCATGGAACGAATTTCTTTGATATCTCGTAAGCTTAAACGGACACGGTGCATGGCGTTGTCGTTTCCGGTTCGCAACTTTTCAGCCAAGGTCTGTTTTAAAACGTGATTGCACTGATCTCTTTTCTACAAATCGCTTTAGACAAATCCGTTTAGAAGGCTGTCTGAAATAGGCATAAACTAATAAAAGTTGGAGTGAAAGTAATTTTAGTGTTTGAACTGGCTTAGTTTATACGAACGGAAGTTAACTCGACCGGCCCAGGTGGTGGGAGCCTGGGTTGTTTATAGAAGCTGACCTGGTATGACCTCACGTGATAGAACCCGCTGACCCTCTTCTTGAAAACAAACAGGGTCAGCCGAGAAATGAAGCCACCCTCGGTCATTATCAGTGTTCCATTTTAATGTCTCCTCGTTATGGCCACGGCAAGGTGAGAGGTTGCAACAGCATCTGCTTGCCTTAACCTGATCGCTATCGCTTCGACTGTCTTTAGGTAGCATTTCCGATATTGCTAAGTACGTGGATTTCAGATGACATTTTACTGGTTCGTCCCAGCAGCTTACAAGCGAGATAGTCTAACCACTAATCCGAGAATACACCGGACGATCATTTCGTTCTATAGGTGCTTTTCATTAATGCGCATTCCTTCGGTGCCTCGATCGTCTGGTGCTTTTCCGGATTAGTGATTAGACTGTCTCGCTTGTGAGCTGCTGTGACGAAGCAGTGAAACTCCTGATAGTATTTTTCCGATGCCATCCTTGTCGGTGGATGCCTGGTCGTATATCTGAGGTACATAGCACTAGGTGCAAGTAACTTCCTATACCATGTACGATCCAAACTTCAGCGGTAATCTGTCTTTAAGGTGCTGAGCAATAATGTCTGGATTTGCGGCTGAGTAGGTTCTGGTCACTGCAGCCGATGGAAAGTTGTCAACCTTAAACGAAACCTTTTTTGAACTGTGATAACAGACTAACTGTGTTCACGGACGATGGCGTGTTCTTTGCCAAAGGATGCACCTGCCTGATTTATCAATGTCAGTGGTGCATCGTATGTTCACTCATGCACATTAACTACACCAACATTCCGGCTCCTTGTGTTGTTGCCTCGCTGAAATGGTCGAATATGATTGCGAATATACATTGTTCTGGGGCGTCCAGACGATGGGCTTGAAATCCAGCTCCACTGACCTGAAGAGCATGTTGTGGAGAAACCACTGGAACATTCTCTGCGCTAGCTTCCCATTCTTAATTCTTGCTTTTTCTCATATCCGACCCATACAGCTTTTATGGAACGTATGCGTCTTTACAACGGCCTTATCAAGCCTGCCTTTACCTTTCATATTCGTTGGACAGTTTTGGTGTATTATATATCGTATGTTCATTTTCATTCCTTCACCCTTTTCTTCTATCGAGTATATGATCCTAATGCATACTCATCATGCTCCCACTGTCTTTTTCAGCACCTGAATATTGATCAGATCGGCAACTGTAGTATCGATGGATTCGTTTGACACATTGGTAAGTTGGTTTTATCTGATACACTCCTTAGGGCTTGAAAGCTGAACTTCAGGAAGCGTGCTCACGATTGCAATGGTACAATCCTACTCCGATTCAATCCTTAGTCATCCCGCCTGCGCTTGAGGGTCGGAATCTCGTTGCTCTGGCCGAAACAGGTTCAGGCAAAACTGCCGCGTACGCTTTACCAATTCTGCAGAAGATTTTGGACAATCCCTCTACTTTTTTCGCTCTTGTTCTTGCACCCACACGAGAGTTGGCGGCTCAAGTGCAGACGCAGTTCGCGGCGTTGGGTAAGGCATTCGGCCTCGTGGCTTTATCCCTGGTTGGTGGAATTCCGATTACTCAGCAAGCGGACCAAATGCAAGTGTCTCCTCCACATATTCTAGTAGGCAAGTTACACTGTTTGTATTTCCTAGTTCTCATGACTTGTCAATATCTGTGCTGAACTATCAACCAGCCGTACTATGTTCGATCCCACAGCTAAACAGCCTGGCATTTTCTCCACATCTGACATTTGAAATCCGAGTGATTGTTGCTATTGTTAGTTTTGCGAGAGCTATCACTATTTCATAAGATCCCTACTTGTTTCAATGATTTGTGTACCTTTTTGATCCATTTGGCTACTACTACTACTACTACTACTACTACTACTACTACTACTACTAACCCACCAAGTGCAGTGGTCAAGCGCGCCACTTCATGATTGTGTCATCTTGGACTGTACATCTAACTATTGATATGACGGATTCCAAGCACCCCTCTAGAATTGTAACAGCTGCCAACTTTGCCTAGCTTTTTGGTCAGTTTATTCATACTTCTATCCATGCCATTAACTGACCACCTCCGAGTTTCACTTGACTGTTCACAATGCTGGCAAACAGTATCCGCACAGTATCCAGTGATTACATTTGCCGAGCGTCATAGTTCTCTTATAAACTGTCGGTCCGTAGCCTAGAGGTAACGAGCTTGTCTCGTAATCTTGCGGCTCTGGTTGGCATCCACGTAGGTGTGGGCGTCCTCGCGGTACACTCAGCCCGCATGCGACTGGTGGTGGTCGCACGGCAGCGAAGCGCCGTTACGGCATACACCTGACACATTTTATTTTTCTCTTATAAACTAGTCTTCCTACTGTTTTTGTTTATCTACGGTCTGCACAATTCCTCTACAATGCGTTTATCCCTCATACCTTCCCGCTACATTGCTGGCTTCCTCCCTTTCGCCACAATTTTATTCTAAAACATTCGAAAAGTGTCTCTTTAAGACGGCTAATTGTGGATACCTTTTCTAGCCACTCCTGGCAGATTGGTCGACCATTTCAAAAGAACGAAAGGTTTCGATGAGTTCAAATTTGCGAATCTGCGTTTCCTAGTAATTGATGAAGCTGACCGGATGTTGGGATCGGACTTTGACTCCGTGCTGGAGAGGATATTATGCGTCCTACCAACAACACGCCAAACTCTTATGTTCTCTGCGACCATGACAGAGAAAGTAAGCTCCTGCTTTTCGTCTATTTTGTTTCCAGCTTCACTTTTCTTGTCTCGCATTCCAAATCATTTTACTGTAGTTTTTTCTAGGGTGCTTTAATTTATTCTTTGGATACAGCATCTGATGGCATCACTGGGGCTGTGTTATCTCAAGCAGCAACCCCAGCGTGTAGTTGAAATTCGAGATCACTCGCTGTTCTTCCAGCTTTGTAAGTAGTTTTTGTGAGAACGTTGGGAAATATATCAATGTGCAAGTTTCACTTACAAAAATCAGCAATTTTCTGCCTTTTTATTCTATGCTCACTGTTTCACTTCCCGCGCACAGTCCTGGTTCAACAAACCACCTTAGTGTGCTGGTATGTGCTCTCACATGATTCTGTACTCCAGGTGATATGCTGCTAGCTAGATTTCGGCGGTGTCTTGAAGGCCGCACCTCATCCACTTACTCGTGCGCCACTTCTCGGTTCTCGCTGTTTCCTTTTGTGTCCGGAAATTATCGGGCATTCACTTCAGCCAACCCATACATTAATTTTGAACAGACTTTCATTGCACTGTTCTCCCGTTGACGAAACGGGTAGAACGATAGTACTGTCGCGCACCCTGACTCAGAGAACTCGTCAAATTAAACCATATAAGTCCTAACATAAGGCTGTAATTTCTGTCAGAAGAAGGCAGCGTTTTATTACGGTAATCAATAGCAGCAGCTTGCGCTTTGCACCTTTGCTTTGCTACTACGCTATCGTGAATAGGGTAGGGCAACCATTTTGTTTGAGAACAAAATGAGGAGAGAGGGCGTGCCTACTATGTGACCTAAGTAAAGCCTGTCTTGATCCTCTGGTCACTCTACTCTGTTAATGCGTGACAAAGGCTCATTCTTTCGGGTGTGAGGTAGGGCGCACTAAATTGCCAACTGTCCAATGGTAGTTGTTGGTCTATTTCAAAATGTTGCACCCACACAGGGGTGTAGAACGACCGTATGCATGCATGTGGATATATGTGTACTTGCCAGTGTCGTCCATCGCGAAAACGCTGGATCATGTGCTGATGGTTGAGTTGGAGTCAATTCACGACACGCCACAAGGCAAGTTCACCGATCGATACATACGCTGTGTAGGGCTGGTTGAAATGGAGACTAGTGTGCAAAATGGAAGCAGCAGTGCCTCATAACCCGGCTACTGCGGTAGAATTGTGGTGGCGCTTCGATAGGCGTAACTGGCCTGAGCAAGGAGTGTACACTAGGTGCTTAGTATTATCGCAGCTGGTGACAAAAGGGTTATTGGCAACGATCTTGTAGACTGAAAATTACTTACCAACAATCTACCTCAGCAAAATAGACATTCCTTACAATTAGGCCTTGCAACTATGAAATGTGATGTTTTGAGAAAGGAGTTTTGAAAAGCTATGTCACCTAAGGACTACTCGCTGCCGCATAGCCCATTCTTCCATCGCAGTATTGATCGCCGTTGCAGGAAACAAGTGTGATAACGCTACCCAATTTGTTTCAGGCGGGACCATGAGCGTTCATTCCAACATATTCACTGATGAGGCAATATTCCATGAGCAGGGAACTGAGGAGCTGAGTTTCTAGTCAAGATCTAATCCACGCGGATATTGAGAATCACGTATCGCACAAAGCGCGAAGCTCAATGACTTGAAAAAATGAATGACAAATCGTGGGACCGCAGCATACGCATGTTGGTTCTCACGCATACTGTGCACCATAAGCCTGTTATCTCTGTGATAATTTTTCTGACACATTATGCTGCAAACGCACCTTTCGCCCAAATCTCGTGACCGGGCAAGATCTCTGCGGCCGATCCACTGGTGGCCGGACACCTTAAGATAATGCCGCACCATGTGTGCATAATGGGCAGGTGCGCCATATTGAAGCTATAAATGCTGAACCGAAGTGCCGAAGCCAGCGATAATCCGTGGTGAAAACATCTCTATCTTGCAGCTGTTACGTAATCTGTCAGCGACAGTTCCCTTAGCACTGGTGAACCATGATAGTAAGAGGAATGGCGGTAATCATAATTGAGTTACTTGGCAAACACGAGGTTAACGTCATATGGGCAACGGAAGTACGTGACTCTGGCTTGCAAGAGGTGCATCACGCAGCCTATTGATCTTCAACGGTTTCTTCCACCGCCATCAATTTTATAGTAAACATCAATAGCAACGACTGCACTCTGTCGGGCAATTGAGCGATTGGGCTTTTCTTAAGTACCCAGCTTCTGTTTTCTCCCAGCGTTCATACAACCCAGAAGAAATATGATCACCATTACCCCTCGCAACAATGTACTAGTGAAATCAGGTGCTATGCATTATACATATATTTACATACACATATATTCACGAACGGTACGTGATTACCTTTACGAAACTTTCGGTAACCGCTGGATCGGTCGTGGAGGACCTATTGATTGGCCTGCACGGTCTCCTGATTTGAACCCACTGGATTTCTTCCTATGGGGGTACTTGAAATGCCGTGTATAAAACAAGGCCAACTTGTCTGGAGGAAATGAAACGGAACATCATCAAGGAATATCGCGGCATAATGTGTCGGAAAGGTTATCACAGGGACTTATGGTGCACAGTATGCGTGAGAACCAACATGCGTATGCTGCGGTCCCACGATTTGTCATTCATTTTTTCAAGTCATTGAGCTTCGCGCTTTGTGCGATACGTGATTCTCAATATCCGCGTGGATTAGATCTTGCCTAGAAACAGCTCCTCAGTTCCCTGCTCATGGAATATTGCCTCATCAGTGCATATGTTGGAATGAACGCTCATGGTCCCGCCTGAAACAAATTGGGTAGCGTTATCACACTTGTTTCCTGCAACGGCGATCAATACTGCGATGGAAGAATGGGCTATGCGGCAGCGAGTAGTCCTTAGGTGGCATGGCTTTTCAAAACTCCTTTCTCAAAACATCACATTTCATAGTTGCAAGGCCTAATTGTAAGGAATGTCTATTTTGCTGAGGTAGATTGTTGGTAAGTAATTTTCAGTCTACAAGATCGTTGCCAATAACCCTTTTGTCACCAGCTGGGATAATACTAAGCACCTAGTGTACACTCCTTGCTCAGGCCAGTTACGCCTATCGAAGCGCCACCACAATTCCACCGCAGTAGCCGGGTTATGAGGCACTGCTGCTTCCATTTTGCACACTATACCATTTTCCATTGAAGTTGGACATTCGGGCAAAACATTTACGCCTGGGGGTCAACGGGGTTGCTCCTCCGGGGCAATCAAGTTGAGTCTTCGCTATGCGGAATAGAACCACTCACTGGCATGGTAGGGGCTGTTTCATTGGCCAAGCGTCTGAGGTCCTATTTGCTGAAGGCGCTTGACCAATGAAACAGCCCCTACCATGCCAGTGAGTGGTTCTATTCCGCATAGCGAAGACTCAACTTGATTGCCCCGGAGGAGCAACCCCGTTGACCCCCAGGCGTAAATGTTTTGCCCGAATGTCCAACTTCAATGGAAAATGGTATAGTCTCCATTTCAACCAGCCCTACACAGCGTATGTATCGATCGGTGAACTTGCCTTGTGGCGTGTCGTGAATTGACTCCAACTCAACCATCAGCACATGATCCAGCGTTTTCGCGATGGACGACACTGGCAAGTACACATATATCCACATGCATGCATACGGTCGTTCTACACCCATGTGTGGGTGCAACATTTTGAAATAGACCAACAACTACCATTGGACAGTTGGCAATTTAATGCGCCCTACCTCACACCCGAAAGAATGAGCCTTTGTCACGCATTAACAGAGTAGAGTGACCAGTATTAGGACAGGCGATTATGAATGGGGAAAGTGCGTGCTCTATGGCATACCGGTCAGGTCGAAATTGTTGACCGGCCAGGTAACGTCCTTGCGGCCTTTGTTGCTATATGCCATAAGCAAGCAGGTCACAACAGCACTTAATAAACTCATCCTTGCCAGGGAACGGCATTCACCTCTTCTGTTTTCGGTTACATTTCGCTCGTTCCGTTTTCCCAGATCGACTGCTAAGTTGGTCTTCTAGACTCCATTTTGATGAGATCAGCTGGCCACCCGCACAGAGTTGTGAGCAGTGGCGTTATTTTCTGCTAACTGGTCATGCATTGCGCCCATTCAATTTTTACTGCAGTGTAGGCAGTGGGCCGGCAGTGGGCAAACTTCCGCCGCACCCGCTTAAGTTAACCAACTTATTTGTCGATTCGATGAGCTGATTTGTTCAGTGTACTAATTAGTTCGGTTTGAAATCTCGGATGTTGCTACAAACGTGGTCCGATTGACTGGATGTCCATCTACATTCATTTAACTAAGATTCGTTGCTAACCAACGTACTTCATATGCTAATTTAGCGAAGAGTTATGTCACCGCATCTGTATGCATTATTGGATTTATTTTCTTTCATCGTTTCAAGTGATTGGCTGTTACTTGCTATCCCCAGTGTAGCTGCGCTTGATGTGTATGTTGCCAAGGTACCTACCTGTCTATTACCCACTACCTCGTTCATACTGGCTCCAGGAGACAGTTGGTCGTTGCTGGAGGGGACGGGGTGCACGGTCCTTGTGGTCTTGCTAGGCTCGAAGAGTGGTTCCATGCATTCAGTGTGGAGCGGACTACGTTCTAGCCACGGCGTTGTGTGCGCTTGATTCCTGAAATACCGCGGGTTTATGTTTGCCTGTGAAGGAGTGTGGGTCGGCTCCGTTGATGAAACGTGGATCGCATCCACATGCCTCCGGGTCTTACTCCTTCGGGTTTACACTGGATATGGGGTGTGTGGTTGGAGCTGTCGGTGATGCAGCGCAAGCCACCCTTGGTCCCTCTGTAGGCGCAGGCGTCCTGTGGCTGGCCACAGTGACAGGCAAATCCGAAACCGTATGCCGCCAACCATGTCTAGTTTTAAGCTCGCGCTTAATAAAATTGTTTGTGATACGTATATTAGATCAACTTATTCTTATGCACTAATTCGTTGCCAACTCATCCTCAGTTCGTGCCTAAGGGTCATTGATAAACGAAACGGCACACACTACAACGCATCATTTACTAGTTTTTGGACCCACCGTCTTACGCGTTGATCCCAGCGTTCCGAAAATTATTGAGCCTTCTGGCCATTTCTACTTGATCATTTTCAGACGTTAACATGATACTTTTAAACCTTTGAGACTTGGCATT